CTCTCTCTCTCTCTCTCTCTCTCTCTCTCTCTCTCTCTCTCTCTCATTCGTGTGCTCCTGTAGGTCGGGTGAACTCGGTTCGGGTCGTAATGCAGTCTTCATCATCAGTGTTTCTTCTAATAAAGCTCTGTGTGCCAGTGACGTCAGCAAGTGTCTCATTCAGGTAAGCGTGTCTCTTTCTCCTCAGCTCTTGGGTTTTATGTTGGTTTTGAAGGATCCCAAAGAAGCACACAGAAGCTCAAAGCTGAGGTTCAGTGAATCAGTGATTGTTTTTCAGAATCATAACTCTTGACTCTCAGCAGCAGCAGATCCTGCAGTATGTTTACATGTGCAATATGTCAATATATCAAATTTATCAGAATGCCTGCTCATACAGTCGATGCATTTCTCTGTTCACATATCTGGATAATATCTGTGCATGTTGTTTTTGTCTTTGTGTGTTTTTCTACATTGATTATATATGAGAGTTTTTGTGTATTTTTGAGGCACTGAAGCTTATTATGATTATTTTTCTCATTCGTGTGTCAGTGCCGTGAATTCACTATTCTAGTTTGAAAAGCAGAACCTTCCTGTAGGAGCCATATGTACAGTTTTATTTCTTTACCTTATTTGCATGATTATTAAAGTTTTTCTTGTTGTGTGTAAAGCTATTAAATGTTCAATGCTGTGAGCTGTTTGGTGTTGCTGGATCAGTTCTGTTTCTATGAATGTGATTCAGGGTTGAGGAATATTTCTGTCTGTGAGTGTGAACGTGTGCGTCTGTGCTTGTGTTGTTCTGTATGTTGTGATGAAGATGATGATGAAGATGTCAAGTCAAGTTTATTTGTATAGCGCTTTTTACGATACAAATCATTGCAAAGCAACTTTACAGCAAATTAAGTTTCTACCAGAACAAGATCAGCCTCCATCCGCCGCGTCGAGACTTTCACGTCACAGATGCGCTGAATGCAGGTGATAAAGAGCAACGAGACACAGCAGATTTATTTATTTTAATGATTTTTTTAAATTCAGTATTTATACAAAAACTGTTGTATTTACATAATACTAGAAATGTTTTATTAAACAATAAAATTAGTATGATTATAACCGGGTTCCCACGGGGTCCTTGAAATCCTTGAAAGTTTGTAAATCTAAAAAAAAATTTCAAGGCCCTGGAAAGTTTTTGAAAATAAACGTACATAGATACAGGTCCTTGAAAGTGTTTGAATTTATTTTGTGCAAGAAGTTTTCTGGGAAAAAATTTCATATTATTCCCTCCGGTCCTCTGTGTTATTTCGCCAACACTTCGTGGCGTATGCATACTAGCTTGCTTGATGTACGTTAGAAAGTCCTTGAATTTTAACTTAACCAAGGTGTGGGAACCCTATATTATTATTTCTAAGACAAAAAAAATACTATTATAACTACACTGTAAAATAAAAATATTTAAGTATATAAATGATTTCACAGTACAGTAGTAGATTTTCTTCACTTTGGTCTTCACTTCTTCACTCAGGTTGACGTCTCAAGCTGTTATTTTGTCTGAACTCTTCAGAAAGTGGTGACATGCTATTGATCATGACGTGTGTTTCTGTGACGCTGTTGTTGTCAGGCATGTGTAACCCCAAGAACTTGAGCGACACGCCGGCGACGGCTAAGAGCACGGTGGAGGAGCTGCAGCGGCCGATCCCCTCGCTCTTCAGAGCGCTGACCGACGGAGACGCTCCCATCAACATGCTGGTGGTGTCCTTCCCTGCGGCTGAAGAGCTGTCCTATCAGCAGAACCTGCTGTCCTTCCTGGAGACGCTGGAGGACGCGCACCACAACGTCTCTCTGCCCGGCAACAGCATCCACGCCAGCTACGACACGCAAGGTGAGCTTCAGCGCTCACAGCCTCGTTAGCTTGAGCTTCACTCGTTAGGACGTGACCTCCTGACCCCGAGCCGAGACGCTAATGAGACGTCCAGCGGAGCGCAGGTGTCCGGAAACACCGCCATCACTTCAGCGCTAATCCAGCCTTCATTTACACACTTACAGTAGCGCTCAAACTCTGGAGTAATGATGATTAATGTTTCTGGAGGAGTCTCTTCTGCTCAGCAAGGCTGTGTTTATTTGATCAAAAATACAGTAAAAATATGAAATATTATTAGAATTTCAAACAGCTGTTTTCTATGTGAATATCTGTTAAACTGTAATTTATTTCTGTGATGCGCAGCTGTATTTTATCTGCATTTATCTGAAATGGAGATATTTTGTAACATTATAAATGTCTTTACTGTCACTTTTGATCAGTTTAATGCATCCGTGATTAATAAGTGTTAATGTACTTACTCCAAACTTTTGTTTTTTTTTTCATGAAGTGAGGCTTTAGATTTACTTTAGATGTTTTCTGTCTGGTTTTGTTTGGGATGTGTTCAGCTCAGAAACACTTAGACGCTGATGAGATCCGTGTCTGCTCTGATGTGTTTGTGTCCGTCTGTGTGCAGATGAGCTGTGTACGGTGGTGTACCTGGACGACTGCGTGTCCATGCGTCAGTGTAAGCAGTACTGCGAGTCGATGGGGGGATCGAAGTACCGCTGGTTCCACAACGCTTGCTGTGAGTGCATCGGCCCCGAGTGCCTCGACTACGGCAGCAAAGCCGTCCGGTGCATGAACTGCCTGTTCTAGAGCCTCACGGGGCCTCTACAGATGTTTTTATTCTTTAGCCAAACACATAGAGATGAGAAATATGAGCTTGATAGAGAGTAGATGCGAGTCTGAGCTCGTATGATATGCATATCGTTCATATTCAGCTTTTATTATGAGTCCAGGTCTTTATTAAGACCGACTGATTTCATACCGAGTTAAATCATTAGTTTGTCTTCAGTATGTTTGATGTTTGTTCAGTAGCTGCAGGTGAAGCATGGTTCGAGCTGAATATTCAGTAATGCACACATGGCTTGTTCAGCACACGGGTTCTTCATGCAGTCGCTCCACTTTCACTGAGACGACAGAAACACACAGAGCTCATTGAGTCCGTCTGCGAACTCCTCCCTGAGATTCACAAACACAGATATAGCAGTTATTCTCGTGCATCGTCTGTCTGCATGAAAGCTCTACTATGTAGGGTCCTGCTTTCATTGCAAACCATTTACAGAATGTGTTCATGAGAAAACCAAAATAAAAAGGAAAACACTTTACAGTTCAATGCTGAACATGCATTAATGCATCTGCTTTCATGAAATAATTTTACAATGTTTTATTAGTTAACAAGAACTAATGAACAATACTTCTACAGTACTAATATTAATGATAATCTCGACATTTACTAATACATTATTCAAATCAAAAGTGGTGTTTTCATGAGTTAGTGCACTGTGAACTAACATGAATGAATGCTGAGAAAGACATGGTTAGTTAAGGCTTTAATGTTAGTTAATGAGACCAGTGTAACGACTCCAAGAACAACAGCAGTGATTGTGTGAAAGTTTATTGGGACAGATTAAGAGACGAACATCAGCGCTTTCATGATCAGAAACAGTATGTACAGTCATTAAAACACTGGAGTCTGCTGAGATTGAATGTTCAGTGAAATCCGTTAAAAACACTGGTGCAAGCAGACGAAACGCCGCGTGCATCAGCACAATGTGCTTCGGGTTAAAAGAGTGCGGCTCGGCCCTCGAGGACAGAGTCCGCAGCCCGTCAAGTGTTCTCTGAAGGAGGAAGACACGTTTAAGGCTTCTGTGGTGAAACAAACCCCAGCCCTGTGGAGAGGTGCATTCTGGGTCAGTACGTGGAGGACGTGTTGCTCATGGCGTCCTCGTTCAGACGTGTGCTGCCGGAGTGAACGCTGGAGAAGTACTTGACGTCTTTATCCACGTCTGTCTGCAGTGAGACGAGTGTGTGCTCCAGCGCCACCTGCTGACAGTTCAGCGCGCTCAGAAAATACTCTGGAGAGAAAACACCAGCAGACATGAGCCAGAGCAAAGACCACACACACACAGAGACACAGACACACACACACACACACACACACACA